CACACACATGCATGCACTGCTCCAACTGCCAAGCCTTTCATTGAGTAAAGTGGCCCACTGAGCCTACTTTCAGGATGGTGCGGGTTATGTGATTGTTCAGCCACCTGCTGACCTCAGGGAATGGGTGAGTCAAGGGGAGGAAGGGAGTGAGGGAGGCAGAGAGGGAAGGAAGGTTTTGAAGCCAGGCTTTAGTATCTTATGGAGGCGACTAAGGAGAGTAAATTAAAAAAAAAAAACTGTTACATCTAATCCGGAGTGCTGAGAACAAGTGGCACACACTCCTAAGTCTGATCCCTCATGTTTACATGGATCTGCATGAGCTTAAACACACGCAACATACACATGCCCCTCCCCAAATAATACACACGCATGCAAATGTTCTGTGATTGTGTCCCAGGCAAGAGGGTGGGAGCGAGGGAGGGGAGGTTCAAGGTCCCGATCTCCACTCTCATTTTCAGCCAGGGGATCTGCACCCAGGACATCTGGGTCACATCATTACTGCAATCTTCTGCTTGTTCATTCCCAGCTTTACGGGGGCTTAGAGCGGCAGACCTGCTGAGAAACACATGCACGTAAACACACAAGGATGGAGACGTGTGCACAGTGTGTGACAGTTGTGAACAGTGAAATAAAACAACGTCTTAAAAGGGATTAAGGTGATTGGGGTTGTGTTTGGTAACATGAAGATTTCAGGATGCGGTGAAAAGATTGATCAGCACACATAAACACATAAATATGTGTCAGTCAATATGTTTGTAAATACGAATTATGAGAAGAATTAACACAAGATTCTGCTGCAGTCTTCAGTACTTTCATTTATTTATTTATTTCACTTTAAAAAAAATAAATGTTTAGAGCCGCGTTAGAGCAGGGCTGTTTAGTGCAGCAATATCGCCATCTACCGGTGGGCAATGGTTTCACAGCAAACAGCACCTCCACGTGATAATCGACAGGAGGCAGTGTTGCAACAATGTTGCTGGGAGAACGGTAGGCTGAAGTTGCTTTTAGCTCCCTGGTCAAAAACATGTTTTACTTTGTTGTGGTTGTTTTCTGTGGCATGCAGATATTTCATGTTGATTATTATTGGGTTAAAATAGGAGGTTAATTTATGCAGTAACAGCATACATATTTTTAACTTTTTACCAGTGATAGCCAGTGCTTATTTTGGTGTAGTTGTGTTGTATCATTTGCAACATATTCGCAGCGTTCATAAAGAAATCAAACAAAACAAAAATAACAGAAACTAGAAAAGCATCTAAAGCAAGCATAATAACTGTGCCTTTTCATTTTTTTCAGGTCTTTATGTGTTATGTAAATCACTTTGAATTGCCTAGTTATATAATCTGCTTTGCTTTGCGTTTGTGCAACACTTCTATTTATTTATTTATGTAAGCTTCCAGTTCAGTTTTTTATTGAGCGCTGTCCAATCTATACGGCAAGTATATGATATAGAAATAGCAAGGATATGCTCAATTCTAGCTATTTCTAGCAGGAAATTGAAATGCTAAATGCTATGCTCATACTGGGTTCCAGTTAAAAAAATACACTTCTTAATCACATTAAGATAAGATAAGATAAGATAAGATAAGAAGAACTTTATTTATCCCGAGGGAAATTCTTTTGTCATATACATGCTCAATGCAGCAAGAGAGACAGAGGAACAGAGGAATAAGATATACAATATATACAATAGAATACACGTATACAGTAATATACAGTAGGATAGTGCAAAATATAATATCAAATGACTTTAACAAGTAACAATATAACTATATCCTGAAAAATAAATAGTTTAGCTATCAGTGCAGGTGATTCTAAAAGTGGCATAGTATTGTGCAAATAAATAAAAGAGAGTAGCAGCATATGATGGGGAGATGAAACAAACATTCCATGAAAAACTGTTGGATGATATTGCACGGCCTGAATGGAAACAGAATAACTTTGTTATTAATCCTCAGGAAAATCACCCACAGAGGGAGGAAGAGTTGTACAGTCTTACTGCCACCGGCACAAAGGATTTTCTGTGGCGGTCAGTTCTGCATTTCGGGGAGGCGTGCATGGGGTGGGACGGGTTGTCCATGATACAAAGAAGCTTTTTTAGCATTCTCCTTTCAAATGACACTGGTGGTCTTCATTAGGTAAGATCGCAGCAGTTGCATTTCATCGCAAGGCAGGAAGTATTAAAGCTGCACTTTTAAAGCAAAGAAAGTGAAGATAAACGTGTAAAGAGCAGCTGGAGGGTCGCTCGTGTCGACAGATAATCTCCAAATATCAGGCTGTAACTGCCGTCCACAGGTGAGACTGAGACTAAAAACTCTGCTCCAGGTGAGGCTCGAACTCACAACCTCGGCATTGCTCTGCTGTATACTGTCATATAAGTACCGCGCGCTAACCGATTGCGCCACTGGAGCTTCGGCGGAAGGCCGCCAGGAAATCGGTTTAAGAAGGCGCAACTGCCCGGAAGAGGTGAAGAAACATGACCTTTGGTTAATTACGTTTTGTTTATCAAATAGTGCAAGCGCACAATGTATGCAGACTGTATTAAAAGTTCATGGGACCCCGGTTGTCCGAGTCTAGAAGCGAAAACATCACAAATAGCCGACTCACATGCTGCGTTCAGGGACCTGACACAAAGCTCGAAAAACCTGCGGTAAACCTAAAAATAAGACAGGCAACAAAACGTGAGCAGTGGCACGCAGGCATGCGGTGACTTTTGAAGAAAGGTAAGCAGAGACACACACTTTCCTCCACTATTTAACAGTTTAACAAGCAAATACTGTACTATACACAGCATGGATGTTTGCACTTTTCTGAACCCCTATCCTTTCTGAGAAACTGTAATTTATGTTTTACTATCTACTGTGTGAACTATGAAAACACCTCACTACACATAAAAACGTATTAATGGAAAATTGTGCATTACAGTACAACAACTGTTGTACAGCACAAAAAGTAAAATTACATTTTGTGTAGAAAAATGTTCCATATCAGTTTTAAATAGATGAATAATACTCCTCCATATGTTTAATGCTGAGCTCATATTAAATGCTTTATGTTCTGTTTAATATCCAGCATCATATTCTTTAAATCACATTTGTAGTGGATGTGCTGTGAGGGCCACATATCTATGAAAAAAAAACAAAGCAATAAAGGAAAACATGCTGGAAGGAAAAGCTCTCCTTAAATAACACCAACAGCTTAAATAAATACATGAAAGACCAAGAAAAGAAAAAGCTTCTTCCTGGAACAAACTGCAAAGGAAATGGAGAGGAGGACTGACATCCCTCAGACAGATCAAGACCACAGCATGCTGTCACAATCTTTTCAAAGAGGCAAAGAATACCAAGTATAGTGATGAAGGAAATGTTTCAGTCAGGACTCATGTCGGTTCTTCAGCATTAGCTAATGTTAAAGTATATGTATACACTGGTTTGATACTAATATATAAATATGACACTGCTTCGCATGCTGGCCACGTATTCACACCACAAAATAAAAATCTGCTCGCCCTTTCAGCATAGCTCAAGTTATTGTTAATGGGAGGCAGACACATCTGTAGAATGAAGACAGCTGTTGTTTCCTATGAGTAAGAAACAAGCAGAGCTTTCAGTGACAATAGCTAACTGTGGCCGCGAGATGACAGTAATACAAAGGATGACTCTTTATGATGAAAGAAGCTTTACTTTGTTATGGTTCGTCTACTTTTAGACTTGCCAAGGCAAGCACTGCCTTTCTTGCTTCATGTTAGTGTTTTAGAAAACCAGAAGTATTAGTATTAGTAAGTATCTATTAACACCTTAAAGCTTGACACTTTATTCTTTGAAAGTAAAAACACAGATAATTGTTTTAATCAATGTGTTTGCAAGGTTTTGAAAGCACAGCTGCACTTATATGCTTAAACAGCAAACCATAAATACATTTAATTAGCATGCTCCATTTTAACGAGTGAAAAGGGAAATCTGCAATTTCATTGTAGTCTTGAGCAGCATAAAGGAAATCATTCCCCTCTTATAATTATACCAGATACCAAACAATAAGCAGCACTATAAAAATGCACAAAGCAAAAGGTGAGGCTGAAAGAAAAAGAAAATCAAGAGCAATTTAAGAAATATGACTAATGAGGAAAAAGACTCTTCACGGCACTGTGTAGGAGTACTCTGATTACTTGATGCATTTAATTAAAAAAAAAAAAAAAAAAAAAAAAAAGCTCACTGTGTACAGAATTCCCTACCTGTTGAGACAGTGGACAGTGTAGCTTAATAAGGCACACAAATTCCATTTTGGATAATACTAGAGTGAAAACTTGCACCGCTGTGATAGCCATCTTTGCTCAAGTAGTCAATGCCCAGAGAAATTAAAGTTCTTGCTTGCTGCACTAAAACAGATTAAACTATAGAAAGAACCAGTGTGAAGGTAAATGCAAAAAAGGCTTCTGAACAGTAGATCATCCACAAGGAAATTGAATCTTTTAATGTGAGAGCAGTCTTCTCTCTGTACGATAGAATCGAAAGTTT